CCAAAACCTTGCCACGCAGACCCATTACAGAAACCCAGAGAATAAAAGAAAGCAAATAGTGTCATTTTAAATCATAAGGAAAAAAAAAAAAGATTTGGGAGAGAGAATGCTTTGACGGGAAAGTAAGAGAAACCTACAGAGTGGTAATATGTTTGGGAGTTTCACTCTTTGCAAAGCCACAAACAGCAACAGATGTTTCTCGAAAATGTCAGAGAGAATTTTTTTTAGAGAATCCTAAAAATACATCATGACAAAATCTGACCATCTTGCCTTAAGAAGGACTCAGACTGACGATTACAGGGCCAAAAGCAGAGTCTTACGATCACCAAGTCTGGTCTTTTGCAGAGTACAGGCCATAACTTAATCTGATAATTTTGCATCGTATTTCCACTGGATTGTAGTATATGATTTTAGGAAGGGCTAAGCAGACTTGATTTAAAAACTTTATATGACAGAGCATCCATCTGATTTCTAAGTGAATTGTTGTAGTCATTAATCATGCCCTCTGTTAAAAGTATTGACTTTATTTTAAACTGAATGTTCTGAGTGTCAGCTTTCATTAGTTGAAATTCCAGTTCTTGTTCTTCAATTTTATTGTTATTGTTTCAGCTTGGAGGGTTAGTACCTTTGGTATTGATGCCTGACTAGAAAGCTCACAGGCATGTAAAGAAATTTCAAGTGTATCGTCTTCTCTGTGGAACTTAAAGCAACACCTGTCTTTGGATGATACTTCTGAACTGAAGTATTTTTTTTTTTTTTTCACAAAGCAATATATATAGAAATTGCATTGACTCTATTTAATTGCATTGTGTGGTGTAGAAGAGCTGCTTACAATACAGACTTTCAGTCTGCCAAGTACTTGAGAGACAGAGACTGTCTCAAATCTTTCAATGACTTTTTAGGTTGGTATCTGAAAGAGCAATATTTATGCAAATATGTGCCCATTGTCTGTGGCCCACTTCTGGTCCACTCTGTGATTTTTGAAATAGTTGGTGCAGAGGAGTGAAAGTCCAACAGTTACTTTAACTCCATATGTTTTGAGAAAATTTGTACCCAATTAAAGTAAAGAAATATGAATCAGCACTCTCCAAGAACAGGTCACAGAACCTATCCATTAGCCCTAGTGTTTTGTAGTCACCAGCCTGTCAGTCACCACATATAAAGTGCAAACTAGTCCCAGGATGTGCTTTCTCTTGCCTTTTGTGACTGTATGTGAGATTTAGGGGTTACTGCAAAGATTTAGATGAGAAAGGATAGAATGTCATGATGAACAAGGAAACGGGCATCATACAATCTGATGCTGATGGAGCAACTTGCACCCTTTGTTTTAAAACTGTGTAAGGAGAAGTGAAAGGTCAAAACACGAAACCTCTGCGTTATTTGCATTCTAATCCTATTTTTGCTCTTCAGCATATTTTATTTCTCCCTGTACCCAGGGTTAAGCCAGTGTAGAAAACCCTTTTATGATTGAGTCATTATTGGAAGAGTAGCACTAAACGCACAGTCAACTCTTGTGAAAATAATAGGTCGTGTCACACCCTACCAGAAATACATGAAGTGAGCTTACAGTGGAAAAACCGAGAAGATTTAAAAGCATTTGAGTCATAACAATTAAGTGTTTGGGACAGAAGTAGGTAAAAACATGTGAACATAACCAAACATCTATGTTTTAAGGATTTACAAATCTGCTTTACAAATAGCGAAATAACTGTTCCTGCAGTTGTAAATAATTGATTTCCTTCTTCCATTTAGGCTGCACTGTAACGATTCCTTTTCTTCTTTCCCGAGTGACTATCCCAGGAGCATCTAGGCTATTCAATGCTTATAATTTAAAGATGACACTCAAGCCTTTTTTCTTCCTTGCTCTGCTCTTAGTTCTATTTAACCAAAATTTTGCAGAGCAAGTACCAGACCTCAAGTATTGTTCATTGTTCATTCTTAGCATTTTGGAAGTCATCTTTATGAGGAATATAATCAGTAGTTTTCTGAATTTAAACAGAAAAAAATGATTCCATTTTCTATTCCCGTTTCAGGAAAGCAGTTTAAATGTACAGTGTGTGACTATACAGCTGCCCAAAAACCACAGCTCCTACGTCACATGGAACAACATGTCTCTTTCAAGGTAAGAAAACATAAATCATGCTTGTTGATAAGTCATTTAGAAATACATGGAACTTCTGCGACAGTTTTAAAACTGGCACATTTTTCTGTTTGGTGACAATTATGGCATCTTAACATTTTAATATTTCAGGAATTTTGACTTTATATTCAGACTTTTGAGATAGGGTTATTTTGTTCGTGGACTATTTATAATTAGTGTTTGTACTTACCAAAAACATATGTATGTCAGAATATAAAACAAACTTGGTTTTTTTGACTGTCGGTCCTTGAGAGAACTATGTAGCTTAAAATGTCCTAAGGAAGTAGGAAAGCGAATCCCATGCATCACTGTTCATTTCCCACCTTAATTTGCTCTGAAAGTTTGCCAGCCTAATGTACTACAGAGGAGTTCATATACTTGAAGAAAATTGAAGAGAATTAATTTTAAAACACTCTATTTATCTGAAACGTGTCTTGGAAAGAGTTTTGAAGATTGTTAATGTTTCCATGAAGTGTTTAGATTAGGGATATGGTTTATTTTAATAAAGTGTAGTATTGTTTTATTCCTAAATTTCACATTGGATCTCAGCATGATAGGTCTTGATGAGATTATGTTCAGGAAATAGAAATGATAGTAGTTTCTTTTCCAGAACAAATCCAGTATTTTCTATGTCTGACAATGTTTGTTTTAATGTAACACTTTATCTTGGCAATGAACATATTTCTTATTTAAAACATCATACTATTTTCATATGCAACATCTTCCATTATCTAACAAATCGTTTTGCTTCTATGAAGAGTGCTCTTCAGCCATTCTTAATAAATACCAATGCTACATACCTCTATAAAGCAGAAAGGAAGACAGTCTTTTGATTTATGGTTTAAATTTCGGAAGACAAGACATATGAGAAAATGAAGCAAGTCATCTAAACAGATGATGCATCTTGAATAAATACTTCCTTTGTGGACCTACCTTTTTTAAAGGTTTTTTTTTGTAAATGAACATATATTTTTTTCCTTTTTTAATGGCTGGTGGGATGAATGTACTTATAATGCAGTTCTTGAAATGTAACTGGTTCTGATCTTGGGATCAGCCGTAGAACGGTCAACTCAGCACCTCTTTTCAGTCCTCTGTCAGCCTGCATGTAAGTGTGGCTGTTCAATGCATTATCAAGAGAACTGCAAACCACTGCAATAGGCCCATCAGGAGTATTTGTCAAAAGGAGCTCAGAAACTGTTGGTAAGAAGTTGCTTCCTTCTGGGACAGTTGCTTGCATACATATCAAACTCAGAGGAATGTCAGTAGTTGCGTGACCTAATGATAATTTAATCTATCATGTTTCCAAGCTCCGTGAATATGTGATAGCAGATAACATACAGGACATGCAAGTGTGTAGGGAGTGGTGCAAGAACACAGCATTCTGTCTGGATTACTTTCTTGAAAAGAAGACAGTTTCAGCAGTAGAAAAGGAGAGTACCCCTCTCTGAAAAACTGAATAGCTGAATGTTACAGTACCCTCTGAATTGTAAGGTTAAGGGAATCTGAACACCACTTTTCTTTATTTTTGCTGTTTGGAGCCTGAAGGAAGATCATGAGCAACAAGCTCAGGAGAATGTTCAGGTCAATGGACCCTGACTTTTCCTTGCTTTAAATTCAGCTTCTTAATAAATATTTCTGTTCCAACCATTTTCTGCTGGCTGGCTTTAGGTGTGCCTGGTTGCTGTGCATGAAACATTTTGCATCCCATTCTGAGGTACTTGACGTTTCCCTAAGGACTGGTCAATTTGCATTCTTTTCCAGGACCCTGATGGTTGTGCCAAGATTCCTATGACTGTGACATAGCTCAGTCAGAAGGTTATTCTCAAAGGCTAACTTTAGGCACATATGCTTGTTTTCCTAAACTTTTTTTCTTTAGAAATGTCTCTCCCTGTCAGTTGAAGGAAGACGTATGTTTTTAAAAATTAATTAATTTAGTTCCCAAAACTTAGCTCACCAAATGGTCAGATGAATACGAGTGCCAGTGAAAGGGAAGCAGTTGGGAGCATGTTGGAGAGAGAAGGAAAGGAAAGGGAAGAGATCAACCCTGTCAGGTACGATTGTCTGTTAAATTAGGTTGGCTGTACAATCATATTGTACCTTCAGTTATTTTAGCTCTCTTACTCCCCCTTTTCAGACCAAAGCTTACGGCAGCTGAGTCATTTCCTTGTAGTAGAAAGTCTCCACGTGGTCAGACCTGTGATCATCAATTATGAAAACACACAGTTTACTGAATTACGAAAAGTAGGTAATAATCTTATAATGTTGAGAATACTTGGTGTCTTGCACATAATAAAAAGTACCAAATTTTAGGTAACATTTAGTTACAACTTCCATTTATACTGAATTTTGGAAGGTCGTTTTGGAAGATGCCTAAACCAGAAATGAACATGGTTTCTCGGGATCAAAACATTGCAGCTTAGAGCTGTATCCTGAAGAGGTCAGGAAATATGTTCTAACATTTTCCTTTTTGCTCCTAGCCTTTCCGTTGTGCACATTGCCACTATTCCTGCAACATATCTGGTTCCCTGAAGAGGCATTACAACAGAAAGCATCCTAATGAAGAGTATGTAAATATAGGTTCTGGGGAGCCTGCAGCAGAAGCCCTTATCCAACAAGGTACATCTGCACCGTATGAGACTTGTTACTTCTTTTGCTGATGCAAACTTGGTGTAAAGGTAAACGTTTTCGGGTCAGAGTGGGTGCACCTGCCACAACCTTCATTCAGTGTCCTTTGTTTCTGGTTTCTAAGTGTGGGTGAACCAAAGTTTTGGTTGACCTTGCCTGCGCTATTCATTGCTGCATACATTTATCATTTGCCTCCTTTTGTTTGTCTCCTGTTGTGAGTAAAGTATCACTATCTGTTGAAATGAATGACAGATTTCTGTCATTCTACTGATGAATTTCTGTGACTGTTTTGCAAGGTTGAACTCAAGGTAAGGTTGAGCAAATGTAAGGAAAGAGACTGAAGAGTAAATGGCAGCAAATTATTCCCCCACTAGAAAAATGGAGGAGGGGGAGTGGGGGAAGAGAGTACAGGGAAAACAGGTTACAAATTGTTCTGCTCAGTCTTATTTATGGGCAAAGGAAGCATACCTACCTATGTAAGTAAAGCCAAGAATTTATTGTTAGTGTAATGGAAATCTTAACAGTCTAATTCAAGAGTCACCATTGATCTAGATCTAATTATTATTTCTTAAAAGCAATAAAATTTGGTTAGAGTACTTACATACAGGATAAGTCTCAATAATATTATTAATACAATTAAAATGGTAACACACACATACTTCTTAATTTTTACTTCTTTGCCTGCTGCTATGGTCACCCTTCCACTCTTCTTCTGAGTCTTAAGATGGGTGGTTTCACTCTGGTGTTGACGTTGGATGGGGGTTTCAGTAAGTTGTCAGCATCTGGAGTTCTGTGCTGGGAGGATGTTCATCCTCATGGTTTCATCTTCCTCTCCCCTTCCACTTAGGGCCATTGTTACATGTTTGCTTACGCATATTTATGCTTTTATTTTTCATTGGTCTGTAGCTCCAGATTAAATCCAAATTTACTGTATACACTGCATTTCAAAAATAGATCTTTGTCTATAAATTTCAGGGCAGGAATTCACAGTAGAATTTTATGATTATTTTCACAGACAGTGAAAGTTGTCAGGGAACATGTGGTTGTTTTAAAGACATAATATTTGCTTGGTCAGTACTCAAAGCCTCTGTTCTGTAGTTGTGCTGGTGAAGGAAGAACTGTGCACTATGGGGAGCTTTGTTTAACTTTCCAAATAATGGAGCACTGCGAGGAATTGTGTGTCCATAGCCACTCTTAAGAATAAGTACCTGGGATGGAATTCTGTTAATACAAAATTAAGGATCATATTTATAATGTTTCAAACAAATAAAATTAATGATATGCTCATTAGGTTTTCCTTCCCCTTTGGGAGCCAGATAAATGCGCTTCTGAAAATAATTCTTTTCCACTGAAACAAAAAACCTATAAAGTTGTTGAGAATGCAGGAGTGGTGTTATAATGAAGACATTAAAGTGAGATGAGAGAGAAGAGCTTGAATTTTTTCCTGTGGTAGATATGCTTTGTCCAGCACATTAAAGCACTGGGCAATGATTAATGGGATGAAATTTAACACATCCAACTGCCGGATTCTGCGCCTAGGACAGAGTAATGCTGGGCACAAGTATAAATCGAGAGGGGAGTGGCTGGAGAGCAGCCCTGCAGAAAGGGACCTGCGGGTGCTGGTTGACAGGCATCAGGCTCAACGGGGGTCAGCCGCGTGTCCTGGCAGCCAGGAGGGCAAACCACATCCTGGGACCCATCAAACATGGCATAACCAGCCAGTCAAAAGAAGTGATTGTCCCTCTGTATTCAGCGTTGGTGCGGCCTCACCTCGAGTGCTGTGTGCAGTTCTGGGCCCCAGAAGGGTGTGAAGCTCCTCGAATGTGTCCAGAGGAGGGCAACAAAGCTGTAAGGAGCTGCTAAGGACCCTGGGTTTGTCTAGTTTGGAGAAAAGGAGGCTGAGGAGCGACCTCATTGCTCTCTGCAGCTTCCTGAGGAGGGGAAGGGGAGAGGGAGATGCTGAGCTCTTCTCCCTGGGATCCAGTGATAGGGTCAAAGCTGCACCAGGGAGATTTAGATTTGACATTAGGAAGCATTTCTTTAGTGAGAGGGTGGTCAAACACCAGAACAGGCTTCCTACAGAGGTGATCAATGCCCCCATTTGGACAATGCCCTTAACAACTTGCTTTAACTTTTGGTCAGCCCTGATCTGGTCAGGCAGTTGGACTAAATGATGGTTGTAGGTCCCTTCCAACTGAAATTAGTCTATTCTATTCTTTCCATCTCTCTGCCTTTGCATCCTTCTTTCGCTTCCCTTCCTTACACAGCATTTGTAGTTCCTGTGTCGCCACTAGTGCTGTCCCTGCTTTCCACGTGCTCACCCGCTGTGTGGAGTCTTAGAGCAGTAAAGGGGCTTCAAATCCATGTAGTAGCTATGAAGTCAGCACCTCTTATCAGGACTCTGCCATGAAGAAAGCCACTTTTCCCACATGCAGCCTCCTTTGCCAGCTCCATTTCCTGCTCTATGATGCATCCCATGGATCTTACACGTAGGGACAAAACAAAAACAGGAGACCTGCAGGTTTCTTATCATACTGTAGAAACGTCAGATTTTCTCAATGTTTTGATATCTCTCTGGGGAAAATAAAAATGTTCCTTGTGGGAGACTTTAATTAAGTAGAGTTTGAATTTGTAGTAGATAAACCTGAGTCCTGTTGAAGTTAATAAAAATTTTTGTGATTTTGGAATCAGAAGGTCTTCTGTATCTGGGTCACACAGCACAAACAGATCATTGTGGAAGTATTATGCAGTATGACAAGGTATGTGTTTCTGAGCTGCTTGGGCCAGCAGTTGCAACTTGCTGTCTGACTAACCTCTATCAAGTTTCAATTTACCGTATTCGTAGATTTGAAAAGCAATTTTGGAAATTTATTCATGTATTCATATAAAGGAAGAAGACCCTTCAGACCTGATACTAAACGTGTCCTTTGAAATTACAGGACTATAAACAAAAAGGAAAAAGCAAGAGAATTAGCAAGCGAAAGGGTTTGGGAAAAAAGTGAGAAGGGAAACTAACAAAGATTAGTGTCTAATAAAAGCTGCCTATATCTATTTGTGTTGTATTGTGCGTGTTCTGTGTTACCCACTGAGCCCAGAGTGAATTGCCTCATACTTTCTCATCTTTTCTTCTCTACTCTCAATCGGTTTTTGACTGCATTGCAGACATTGCAAATAATATTAATTGGAAATATTTATATGAATGTAGACCGCTGGACTCTACTCAGAATTCCTGGAAGGAGTTTATAAATAAATGAATGATTCATAGAATAGAAGTGAGAACATGTTCATTTGAGCAACTGCATTGCCAGGGATGGAGCAGTATTTCATTTTTGGGATTATATTAGAAATTAGGATCAGCCAGGATGAGAGAAATGCTTGGGGGTTTTGCAGGGTTTAAATAAAATAAATACTATAAGAATTTGATGATCATTCTGGGTAGGGAAAATCATGTATAAGGAAAATAAATACTATAAGGATTTGGTGTATTCTGCATAGGGGATTAGAGTATTATATATGCATTACCCACTAGGGCTTTTTGTGAGACCCTGCCTACTTGCTCATTTGATAGCTTCCTTTTTTGTTTCATTTGCTTTGTGCTGGGCAGGTCACAGAGAATTTTTCCCAAAATTGTTTCTTTTCTCTTCACTGATGGTCCCTACCATCCATTGTTTTGTTTACATATCTCTGCACTCGCTGGGTGACAGACTTTCTATTTGTGTTTGTGCAGCAACTTGTGCAGTACATACATGATGATCTAGTTGTGGCCTCTGTGTTCTTTATGCCACTATCGTCACATGCTTTCTTTTAACATAAAATAATCGTTTTCTTATGGAGATTTTAGGCAAATAAATTAATTGGGTGGAGAGCACATGTCAATGCCATGATGGAAAAAAGTTTTGGAGCTCCATGTTTGTGTGCGTTATTTCATTGCAAATGTCAGTTTTGGTATTGAAAGTAGGTAAGGTGTGTAATTCATTGACTTTTCTGTGTATGTTAGCCACTACTTTAAAAATCTTGTAGAAATTAATTTTCCTGAGCTTTCATATCAAGCCGCTGACATGGAGTTATGTATTAGGAGTTTAATTCTATGCTTCCATTATTTGTTCTTTAATTAAAGTCATAGTGACAAAAGTTACAGCTTTAATTTATCGGGTGTATTGTTGCAATAGTTTCGATGTCAAAGTAATGCAGAAAAGTGTCCTCTCTTTCACCGCAGCAGGTTTTTCCTAATACTGCAGATTGATGTGAGTGAATATTGAATTGTATTTTCTGTAAGTGATAGTGTCTTTGTCCTAATCTGAACAAAGGTATTTTGCTTTTGCGAACTTTCGAGTTTCCCTTAATAGGGAAACTATTTCAGTTTTATTTAGAGATGGACTACTGAGCATCTGCAATAATAGTGAAATTTGGTGAAGACTTATAATAGATTGAGAGCAAAAAGGGGAGATTGTGTAGGAATAAGTGTCAGTGAAAGACCCTAGCGACTGGGTGTAGTTATATTCTGTTTTATCCCAAAAAAAAGTTTATTTCTTTACACCTAGTAGAATACCATATGGTCGGTTTCCATTACTGTGAAGTGGAATGCTTTCTCTAATCACCTTATTCATAAAAGACTATGTGCAACGAGGACTTGGCTTATAACCAGCTTATGAGAGTGTATTTGAAGCATTTGAACATGATGGGCAAGAGTCATCGTTCGCCATGGTAATGTGGAGTCAGCCATCTGGTGTCATAGTTCCTAAAGTGGCATAACACACTTCCCCAGCCATTAGATTTGTTAGAGTGAGTTCTGGTCACCTAATGCAACGATTTATCATATGCAGATTATTTTTGTTCTGCTTTATTCAATAGGGGAGAAAAAAGAGAAATGCTTATTTGCATAATTACAAGCAGCTGAGAGCTGACATTTGACCAAATGACTTTCATAAGAAAAAGAAGTAAAAGCTGTTTAATCTAGTGTAGAAAATTGGATGCTTATGACTTTGTCATGCTTAGTTTTTTACCTGTAATGCTGCATACTCAGGCAGTAAACATTGTGCTAAATTCATGCTATGCATCATTTTGTAGATAAACAGAAAACTTAGGTTTATAGTTTTGTATGTTGACATAAACCGTAGAAACTCTCAAACGCAAAGATAGTTGGGTGAAGATGACATTACATTGTTAGCTCATCCTAATTTGCTTTGATAACGTGCCAAAAAACTTAATGTTTGTTTGAAACTTGAGAACACTAGAACAGCTGTCTTAGAGAAGGTACATTTTTAAAAAATTATTAAAGCGTGCTGCTACTGTGCACATACTAAGATCTCTCTGCTGTTTGTAAGCACTTTAAAAAAAATCCCAGCACTTACTGAACGAGTACAGCGCAGTCTGGTTTTGGATTGTGTCCCAAAGGCCGGCACACCAGGACTTTGCAAAACAGGGAACTGATAGTTAAAGCTTATCAGAGACCCCAGTCTTGTAGATATTTGGATTTTACATACAATATACATTTGAAGCTTCAATGGTATGTAATGGAGTAGGCATTAAAAATAGTCTCTAAGGAACTCTATGTTTTGAAATAAAAGAGTGTTTACAGGGCAAAAGCGTTAGTTCAGAATTATTTACAATACGTGCTAGGCTTTGCTTTTGGTGGGCCTGAAGCAAAACATAAGTCATAGACACCCTCAGACTTGAAAGATACTTCACTTGGAAACTAGGACTGGTCTCCGTTGGTGCTGCTAAACATGAATTTCAACCAGTCATGGCTGTGGGAATGATTCTGCACAGATTGGAGGTTTGCAGTATTTTGTGGCCAAGCAAAAAAATGGGGTGGGGTTGGTCAAACTTAGTATGTTGTCATTCCTTGAAAAACCTGTTCACGTGCTAATGTACATGCCACTTCTAGAGTGGCTTTTCTTAGCAAAGCAAGCACAAGTTCTCACCCAGTAGATAAGCTATTATTTACTTCACAATTTGTGTTCTCTCTGTTATAGTTTGGCTATCTTCTTAACATCTAGCTCCTGAGAGCTGAAACCAATAATATGGAAGTAAAGCTGTATCCGAGACTAGTTGCCAGAGTTGTCCGTTCTTGCTCTCTCTTTCTAACTGGTCTGTGGCAGGGGTTCCCCAGCGAGAGACG